GTGGCTTTTTTCCGCCTGCGCCTGCGCGCACCCTCCCTCGCCCGGAGGCGGTAGTCCCTGCTGTCTCCTCACCCTCTGCAAGTACTCAAAAGCTCTGCGTCGTTGCTAGTCTGGGCTGCCAGAAGGATGAGGTGTTTAAATTCTCAATAATATCCGTGGAGATCATTGGAAAAACCTGAGTTAAAATAATGCAGCTTTCGCTTCCCACTGCACTGAATACTGGCAGAGAATCGAATTCACACTCTCCATTTGTGAATGCGGGGACAAACACACATTGGCACACAGCTGAATAAAGAGTGTAGTAGTATATGACTTGGGAGGAGCAGAGGGGCTTTATATGCTGAATATTAAGAAGTTAAGATTTTACCCTAAAAACAATGGCAAGCTACTGAAGGCCTTTACGTAGACAAACCTCAAATCAAACAAGTTTTAAAAAGATCACTAAAACACAATGTGCACAACAAAATTGAGGAAGACAAAATTAAATGCAGAAAGACCAACTTAAAGGAACTGGGTAATGAAAACTTAAGCGAAGGTGCTGGCAGTTGAGATGGGTTTTGAGAATTAATAAGGGCAATGCAATCAATAGGACTTTTTGACTGATTGGATATGGAGGATAATGAAGAATTAGGATACCAGTATTATTCCCAGGTTTCAGAATAGAATTCGGGGATGAATGTCATTGAGCTAGAAAACACAGAGGAGGGATGATGAGTTTAGATTGAGGAGGTGTGTTTGAAGAATCTATGGGACATTTAGATAGACTAGTCAGAGGCAAATCTGATCAGAGATATAAATCTGACAGCTAATACTTCAGGTTTAACTGAACTGTGCCAAAGAAACTGCAAAACTCTAAAGGCACAAAGAGCCTTAGGCCAAGGACAGAACTATTTATGGAGAAGAAAAGGCAAGAAAAAAAAGAGTTGTCAGTGAGGTATCAGCAAAAAACCAAGAGAGAGTCTCACAGAAGCCAGACGATAAGAGAACTTTCAGGAAAAAGTGGTGAACAGTGTCTAATACCCTGGGTTGAGTATACTAAGCCCAGAAATATTGAGAAGTCACTTTACCCTCTTAACCATTTTAAGTGTACAGTTCAATGGTGTTAAGTACCTCCACATTGCTGTTCAGCAGATGTCCAGAAGTTTTTTTGTCTTGAAAACTGAAACTATACACCCATTAAACAATTCCCCATTTTCCCCTTTCCCCAGCCCCTGACAACCTCCATATTACTTTCTTTTCCTATAAATTTAACTACTTTAGATACCTCACATAAGTGGATTTGTCTTTCTGTGACTGGCTTATTTCACTTAGTATAATGTCCTCAGGGGCATATATATATATACTTCCAAAAAATGTATATACACACTTTGAATAATTATAAAGGCAGTGTTTGTTGAAATACATTTCATTTTCAAAATTGAGCTATCAGCTGTTAAAGTGTGTATACAGTTTTTGCTATATATATATATCTCCATATTGCTGCCATGTGACAGTATTCCTTTCTTTTAAAGACTGAATAAATATTCCATTGTATAGATATACTATATTTTGCTTATCCATCGATCCATCAACGAACATTTGGGTTGCTTACACCTTTTTGCAATTTTGAACATGAGCATTCAAATATCACTTTGAGACCCTGATTTTAATTCTTTTGAATTTATATACAGAAAGGGGATTGATGGATCATATAGTAATTATGTTTTTATTTTTTTAAGAACCTCAGCGACTTTTTAAATTATTGTTTTAAGTTTAGAGAGCTTTAAGCGTAATGGGGAATTGGCTTTATGCAAAAGACTGTCTTGGAGGGTGAGCAAGATGTATATACAGAAAAACTGAATGAAGAGAGGCAGCAAAAACAGGAAACTGATGTGTTCCCTCCAGATGCTTTTTGTTTTCCCCATAAAGCATGAAAGGGCAGCTAAGAGCAAGAGGGAATGTGTTAGTCTTGTCCTGAGAAGAATGCCTTGAGAAGTTCTGCATAGCAGCTTGGAGAAGAGGGAAAATCAATTTAACAAGGAGATAAAGGGATGTTTTCAGGGAACAGCTAAAACTAGACAACATGATTATTCAAGGGTAGCAGTCTATATATAACTCAGAATTCGGAATGTAAGGTGGGTCACCCACATAGATGCTGAATGTTAGTGAATGTGAAGACTTGACCAGGAGTCAACAGATAACAGTAAAATGGAAGGGTAGGCTCAAAATGATGGCCAAATTAGTGCATAACAAGTGAATATGAATAGAATTCCAAGAAACTCAACTGGTCTTTTACCCTAGGAAGTACTTAAGTAATTTGCTTCATCCAATGTTTTGAGCAGAATCATCACCTTTTCAAAAAATGTTTTTATTGATTATTTAGAGAGAGAGGAAGGGAGAGGAATAGAGAGATAGAAACATCTAAACATCATCTATCGGCTTCCTCCTGCAAGCCTCCTACTGGGAGTTGAGCCCACAACCTGGGCATGTGCCCTGACTGGGAATTGAACTGATGACCTCTTGGTTCATGGCTTTACACTCAACCACTGAGACACACCAACGGGGCAGATTCCTCCCCTTTAATTAAAAAAAAACAAAACTCGGCCGGGCGTGGCTCAGCGGTTGAGCGTCCACCTAGGATCCAGGCGATCAGGGTTCGATTCCCGGTCAGGGCACATGCCCAGGTTGTGGGCTCGATCAATGACTCTCTCATCATTGGTGTTTCCGTCTCTCTCTCTCCCTCTCCTTTCCTCTCTCTGAAATCAATAAAGATATATTTAAAAAAAAATTCTTTTTGCAATAAAGTAACTTCTTACTACTCAAATACTTACAGCCTTAGATACTTGCAGAGACCAGGAACCGTGTCCTTACAAGACTGAAAAAGCCAACTGCTTCTGTAACCATCAAACAACAGGAGATAAAACTGTCACCCAGATCCTTTCCCTTTGCCATACAAGGGAACCAACCCAGGCAGAGGTATTATAATGAGTATTGGCCTTCACACCAATACCTCTTGTTTCATATGGACTCAAAATAGCTGGCTTTAAAAATAAGAGATAGAGGAGTGGGCCAGGAAAAAAAGACAGTACATGAAAGAGAAGAGTTAGTTGGTGGACTTTAAGAACTATATCAAAGAAAGACCTTTTGAGTGGGGTAAGAAAACTGAAGATGGAAATCCACTGGAATTATTCCCTCTTTTTTCTGGAAGGGCACTGCTATGTTGATCTTCAGCTTCTTTCTAAAACAGGTAATGTAGACATACTATGGGTGGAGCCAAAGGCATCTCCAGTCTTGACTAAGGTGCTAAGATATCTGTAATGTCAGAAATAACAGGGGGCATGGAGAAGATGAAAGAGATAATCACTGGAGCTAGGGTGTTATAAGGTAGAGAAAAGCACCTTACATGGAAGGAATGCATCTTACATTATTTAATGTAAGTTTGTCAGTGGCAAGGCAGTTGGGTGAGTGTTGCTATTTGCGGGTAGTGAAGCCATGTAGATACACCCTAAAAATATAGATCATATAGTCTTGGTGGCTGTCCGACTATATGAGGAAGGCAAACTTGAAGGACCTTGAAACTGTTCATTAAAAGCTGGGAGGGACCCAGCCAGCATGGCTCAGTGGTTGAGAGTTGACACATGAACCAGGAGGTCACGGTTCAATTTCCAGTCAGGGAACATGCCTGGGTTGAGGGCTCAATCCCCAGTAGGTGGCATGCAGGAGGCAACTGATCAATGACTCTCTCATCATTGATGTTTCTATCTTTCTCTCCTTTTCCCTTCCTCTCTCTGAAATCAATAAAAACATACACTTTTTTAAAAGCTAGGAGGAGTCCTAGCCAGGTAGCTCAGTTGGTTGGAGCATCTTCCTGATACACCAAGGTTGTGGGTTCAATCCCTGCTCAGGGCACATACAGGGGTCAACAAGTGAATGCATGAATGGGTGGAACAACAAGTAGATGTCTCCCTCTCTCTCTCTCCCTTTAATCAATAAAAAAAAATTTTAAATTTGAAAAAAAAGCTAGGAGGAAAAATAAGGCTATGATCAGAAACCATGTAAGTTAATCTACTATGAAAATGTAAAATATGAATAATAAAAATGTTTTCTGTGAAACATGATTCATTATAGTTATAGAGGTTGACTTGTGTCATCCCAGAAGGCTGTTTTATGTGAAGACAGGATGTTAGAGATGACCTCTTGAGTGATCATGTCTACAGGGTAT